GTAGTCAAATTGGAGCTATCAATGAATATAAAAATACTAGAGAATATTAAATTAGTAGTTACTGAATTTTGGAGGCATATATATTTGCAACATCTCTCCCTCGCAAGATTGTCAGAGGGCGAATTTATATTTGTGGGATTGAGAATCATGGCAAACTGCGGTATTAATATAATTCGTAGTGATGTGTTAGGTGTTAATTTATATCGGTTCAATTTTAAAAAATACAAATAGATGTTTTATATTAAATTTTTAAAAACTTATTTAGAAATTACTATTTTATTTGAGAAATGCTACATTGACAACTTAGTGTACAATTAGGTTGACAACATAATTTTCTAACTCATCATATATATTATGATATCATTGATAAAATTATTTTAATTTAGAAATATTAATTGTATTACTTTATTATAAAATTGTTATTTATAATTTTTTATTTTATTTTGTATATGCAACACTATATCAAATTGAAAATCTTAAAAAGTTTAATAATTTTGATATATCATACATGAAAAACAGATAATGCATTAAAAAGTCGTGTGTGTATACATATATAAAAGTTAAGTTGGTCTAGTATTTAATATTTTTAAAATTTTCTAATAGGTAAATTTCAAGTTTAAATAGCAAAAAATTAATTTGTGTTGTAAATCGTATGTTGAAAATTCTGAAAATTAATTTGTGCTAAAAACTGCGTGTTTAACAAGTTGAAAAATACTAAAACTGAGTGTTTAAATAGCTGAAAATTAATTTGTGTTGAAATCTGAGTGATCTAAGTGTTGAAAAATCTTATTTGGGTTGGAAACTAAGTGTTTAAATTGTTGAAAGTTGTGTTGTTTTAGAAAGGAACTGCAATGTTTTATGTGAATATTTCTTTGTTTCCAACTTTTAACTTGTCTCCGTTTGACACCAAATCCGACTTTTCAATTTGGCAACAAAAATATAACGAAGATTTAATTCAACAAACTAGATTTAATTCAACAAACTATGTTTAACGTCGCATTTTGCTCATTTTCACACGATAAGTCTGAAGATAAAATTGCTGAAATTGATCAATTTGTTTATTCGTCTATTATCTTGAACTAGTGCAGAGCCCGTGCGATGCACGGGGTGCACAATTTTATGACTATTTATCCAGACTTATAATTATATACATGAATAAAGAAAAATGTACGGGATATATATAGTACGTGACCCGTGCGAGGCACGGGATATATTTATTTGGGAAATATTATATTATTATAAGATGTAATATTAAATAAAAAATTTATAATATGTAGGAAAATTGTACAATAAGATAGTATTGGACAAAGAAACAATCATGTATTATTAAAGACCTTCTTGTATACAATATTATGAGTTTGATTATTGGACAACTCGTCATTCTCACAAACTAATATCTTTACATTACGAGATTTATAATTTATAATGGGTAGAATAGAATCAATATCTGTTAAGATTTTTAAGAAAAAATATTGATATATGTTGTCAGTATTTTTACCGGAGTAGAATCGAAAGATTCGTCCCTGGTTCGTACCGCAAGGAAGGTTAGCCGGATATTCTTGTGCGTTTATCCAATCACGAAAAAGAGAAGACAAATTCTTAAACACTCTAATTCAATATTTTGGGTTTCAATTATCAACTAATGATTTAAACTGAATAAAATGAAAGTAAAATGGCAAATAAATTCACTGAATGATTAAAGAGCTAGGGAATCGGGATTAATTGTTTTCGGTTCTAACATAATCACTGACAATCGATTGCTCAGTTAAAGGACTTAAATCGTTTCTCGTTCAGAGCTTCACTCTCAATAACTCTTCGTAACAAGAGAGTGAATGTAAACGATCAACTATCAATTCCACAACACATAGACAATATGTTTCTGAACAAGTCTATTCTAAACGAGCCAAAATCGACCAACGTCTCCCCTCTCGGTTCTATACGTTGATTAACTAGATTAGAAAGGTGATCAATCTACTAACCCTATAATTCACACAACTCGCATAGACATGAACAATCAAAAGCATTCAATTATAAACGAACCTAATCAATCATCCCCTATCCCTAGCAAATGGATTTAGCTACTCATGACGAATTTAACATCACAATTCATATCAACCCAAGTCATCACCATCAACAAAGCAATTGAGAAAAGGAACTTACGATTAATATAAAGAATCCAATGTCGAATCCAAGTGCATCCAAATTCAAAGCGAGAAAAAGGAGTTTTTCAATCTACAAATCGAATCAAAAGAGAAAAACCATGAAAAGGAATGAGTTTCTCTAGAGAAAACACGTAAAAACAAAGTCTAGAAGTGAATAATGAACCCTATGACCGAAATCTGATGTTAAAATCCCGCTCCTCGAAATTCGCGCAGATAAGTCGCGAGTCGCGACATAAGTCACGAGTCGCGACTTTTCCTTTTACTCGGTTGCGAGTCGCGACATCCTCGCGAGTCGCGCGTCATCAAGATGTTCAATTCCTGGGGTCTGGTCGCGACCTAAGTCGCGAGTCGCGACTTCGACTTGAAACTGCACCTTTAGCCTCTATTTTTCTCGCGGGTCGCGACATGTTCGCGAGTCGCGAGTCGTCTCGCGACTCGCGAGTCGCGACAAATGCTGCGCGCGTTTTCTGTCCGTTTTTCAGTCCCCTTCGTCGGTTTCTGGCTCGGCCACGGGAATTCTCAATATCACGGTCTCAACTCAAGCAATCTCAACCTCGACCGGCACAACCTACCTCCTGAGAACACAAACACGGAAAAACACGAAGCAAAATACAGCAAAAAGGCACATAAACAAAACTCCACAATTATCCCCTCACATTCTCAACCCGAGACTCAACAATGTCATCATCACGAGGTTATATATATAAAAAAAACAATTAGGCTCAAAAGGGCAACTAGAGAATAACTGCAGAAAAAACAAGGATAGAAAAATACAAAAAATGCCTTAATCATATTCACAGTTCACAACCTAAATTGATTCATTTCGATGCAGACTCAGGGCAAGTTCTAATCAAACAAGAGCACGACCAATGTATCTCAAGAAATAAATAAGGCTCAAACCTCACTAGGCAAATATATGAACGTCAATCAAAGTCATTAACCAAGCTTTTGATCACGCTATGCCATACAATACCATCATCACAACTCATCGAATTCATTAAACAAGTCTCAACTCATCATGAATTTTTCAAGTACAGACTCCAAAACACATAAATCCTACACTATACAGGTCCACAAAGCAAGAGAAAGAAATAAAAACACATCCTAAAACAAATGAAATCGCGACCTAAGTCGCGAGTCGCGACTCAATCTTGCGAGTCGCGACATCATCTTGCGAGTCGCGACTTCGACTCAAAACTGCACCTTTAGCCTCTGTTTTTCTAGCGGGTCGCGACATGTTCGCGAGTCGCGACCCGAGTCGCGAGAAATGCTGGGCGCGTTTTTTGTCCGTTTTTCAGTCCTCTTCATCGTTTTCTGGCTTGGCCACGGGAATTCTCGATATCACGGTCTCGACTCAAGCAATCTCAACCTCGACCGGCACAACCTACCTCCTGAGAACACAAACACGGAAAAACACGAAGCAAAATACAACAAAAAGGCACATAAACATAAACTAAAGGCAAAAACACAAAACGAAAGAAATTGACCAAATAAACTACGAAAAACCTACAAATGGAGGAAAAAAAAAAAGAAAATAAACATGAAATAAAGACATAAAAATGGGACAAACAATATACGGAAATCACATTATATGTAAAAAAAATCAGATCAGATTTTCCATACAATTAGATAAGATTTTTTGTACAAAGATAAGAAGGAATTTTAAATCTAAACAAACTATAAATATTAGATGTATTGATTTACGTAAATCAATATCTGTATAGACAACCAAACCCTTCAATTTAGGCTTGACATTTGATTTATTTTTTGTAAAATCAAGATTTTATCTTCCGATCAAATGTGTCTTTTTTTGTATTACGTACAAAAAACAATTAAACAATTAAACAAATGTGTCTTTTTTTGTATTACGTACAAATGTGTCTTTTTTTGTACCGGTTTTATGGGAAAAAATAATTAAACAAAAATTAATTGATGGAAATAGAATGCATTAATTACCCTTGACTTTTCTTCCTACTAATTCTAGTAAATTGGATGACTCTTTATATAAGTATAGATTCATCATATTATGTGGTTCGAAAAGTTGGTAAACTAGATTCTCCTAAAGATCTTTGGGAAATATTATAATAACTATACACTGAAACCTCTTTGCCGAGTAAATTATTGTTGCTTAAAAACTCATTCCGATTCAAATGATCTTTCGAAAGAAATTGATAAAAATCTTAATGTTTTACTAAACTTGTTTAGGATATAACATTAAAATTGACTAGTGATAATCATATTGATGATAAACTTATTTAGGATATAACATTAAAATTGACTTGTGATAATCATATTGATGATTATACATCTATTGTACTTTAAAGGCTATACTTGATTCTTATCATTTAAATGCTATACTTGATTCTTATATGATAATGCTATACTTCATTCTTATACGATGTAAAGTAATAATGTAACACTTGACGTTGTGAATTAATTGACAAGTAAAACATTAATTTTAAAAGCTAAGGAGAGTAAAAATATGGACGAGGTTCATTTTGTTGCAATAAAATAGATTTCAAAATGAGACTCCTAACATCTATTCAACATTTAAACACCAATCCCGAATCTAACAGAATTAATAATTAATAATAATAATAATAATAATAATAATAATAATAATAAAACCAAAACGGAAATCTATCAAAAAGAGACACAAGTGATGTCGTCCCGACACGAGCCACCCTACCCGTGCTTCTAATTATTTCTGACACTAGCAAAATGTAAAACAAATCTCAAGAATTTAATTCCTAGCGTCCACTTTATTTTATTTATTTTTTTCAAAAAAAAAAAAATCCCCACTCATGACATAACAAATGTAGGATCGATCACAAGTTCCTAGGACATAGACGAGTTCCCGAGCGTGGAGCTATTACCGAGGGAGTCCTTGCTGGCAGCCTCATCTGAGGGCAGAATGGGGATTTTAACGGCTGCCCTCTCCATCTCCTTCTCCAGCTCCTCCTCTTGTCTTAGAGCCGTGAATTGAGTGTCTAATGACTTGGCTGCCCCAAGCCATGCAAGCACAATCACAAGGAGGACACCTCCTAAATATGGAGTCGAATTCGCGAGTGACCCAAATGTTAGGATCATAAACTGCTGGATTAATGCACCTCCCGATTTCCCAAGCGGGTTGCAAACCACGTCAATTGCTGCTTTGCCTTTCACCTGATTCAAAACAGTCAAGAATCTATATATCTATATAATATAATTGGTGGCAAGTTTCAATAGAAATAGGACTTCATTTAATAAAAATCTTTATGACCAACATTTATGACAGTTACACAAGTAAAACTTTATTATTATTAATAGTTTACAGTTTTGCTATGGAGCCATCCACACTTATTCACCAATAGTGAACTGACACGTGTCCTGCAATAAATACACTTTGTACAGGTGTCAATATATTAAGTGGTGGATGGCTCCAGAAATTCTGTAATAATTTATTCTGTACCAGATTTACAAGATTTTAAAAATTTTGAATATACAATATTAAATTATTTTATAATTATTATTCCAATTTTTGTATTGTAGTTATACAATAACAAAAAACAATATGGAAGCTAAATAATTTATATTTATATTATACATTTACATATAGTCAAAATTTTAAAATGTAATACACTTTATCTAATTTAAATTTTTAAATACCATATACGCACATATAATATATAAATTTTTGTTTCTCTCGGCGCATGTGCACATGATCGAATATTAGTTGGAAGTAAAAGTAAAAAAAAAAAAAGGTGAAAATTACGAAACCTTAGTGTCCTCATCCAAAGGAATGTAGGCCATCTCCTTGCAGGGGTCAAATAAGCTGTACTTGGCGCTCTTGCTGAAGATGTTCTGCATGGCCCCCACATACACGGCAGCCAAAAGTGGGGTCATTCCGAATNAAGAGAAATTGCATTTAACATCCTCAACAGGGGAAAGCTTTTCTGTTTGCCAACAGATTTTTTATTTTTATATTTTCTTTTGGTACAGATTTACACTCTGAACAACATATTGGTTTCTTTTCCCACTTTTTTCCTGGCCCATGAGCCAGCAATCTGGCATTCTATCATGCGAGGAATGAGTTGAAAGAGAAGACTCCAGTACTTCTACTCTTACATGCACCATGTGATTTAGTCTAATAAAAAGTTACCATATGTAATCGTTTGAATGTACAAATGTACCTTAATTGTCACTATTTCACAAATTGCACTCAGAAAACTGGGTAATTATAAAATAAGAAACAAAATCTCCAAGGGAATATAATAAAAGTCTGAAGAAGGAACCAGGAGTTTTAAAGATGAATTGAATTCTTGGGTACAAAAACTGAACACAAACAAAATAGTAATGAGAAAGTAAGTAAGGAGTGACTTATTATTGTTTTACCTGAGCTTTGAGCTTTGATTTCCACGTAACCTCAACAAGGTTAATGCTGATGCCATATGCTACGACCAAAGTTGCAAGATCTCTAATGTATCTTTTAGATGCCAAAAACTTCAAGCTCTCAGCTGTCCCCATTTCCACCCTCTCCTGTAAGAAATACAGTCGATGAGAAATATCAAAGAAGACAACATAATCTACTAATAGTAGGAAGATGAAGACAAATTCCAGGACACTAGAGTGGAAACACTAGAGACAGAGAGAGAGACAGAGATAAATATAAGTTAGAAGTTAGCCTTTTGGAAAAGAAAAAAAAAATGAAAATCGTTAAAGCTGGAAAAACATGGAAGGAAAATGGTTTTAGAATGGGCTTTCATAGGAAGACAGAAAATATTATTAGCAAATGGTCTAACCTAAAAATCAGAAATTGAGGATAAGAATGTCAAAATAAGCTTGTTTTTATTATACAATGACAATAAGCACTTCTACAAAAATAAGTAGCACTGTACCCCATGCTTTTAGTACTAACTAAATGAAAAATAAAAACCGCAGGAATACTATAAATATTTTTATTATTAAGCCTATAAACTGCCAATCAGTTCTTATAAGTGCTGCGAACACTTTCCAAGTAGTCCCGTTCTTGAAAAATAGTTTCAACACAAAATAAATTGAACTGTAAGCTAAAAATTGCAAATTCCAGAACAGTTATGAAAAAAACTTCAAGAAAGGCCTGCCTTAACCATTGCTTAAAAAAACCACACAAGATACACACATCTTTAAAAATAATAATAATAAGTCAGTCGAATATTGGTAAAAGAAATGCCAAAAAAAGCCCACATACCTTCTTCTTCAAACTACGTGTCGGAAGAGGAACATTGTGATTCACCCACCAGTAAAAGAAGCAAATCATGAGGCCCATCCCCACCACAATACCCATCATCCCCTTCAATGATATGGCCCAACCATCGACACCTGGACCCAAGTTTTGTCTCATCTGAGAAAAGTATTTCACGGTTCTGCCCGAGAAAATGAGGGCGACATTTGCTCCAAGCCCAAACAGGGGATAAAATTTTTTGGCTTCATCAACAGTGGTTATCTGCAAAAGAGGTGATGAAGCAATATTACTGAGTTGTTGTCCGGATGATAATATAATCAAAAATATGCAAACCACTTAAATTTAATGTGAGTGCATCTACGAAGGCCAAAAAGCATCACACAAATCACAAACTGCACTAGAGAGATAAATTACCATAGATTGGAAGCCGAAGATATAATTGCAAAAGACAACCTCAGAGGTCTTTACTAAAGATGGAAAAAACAGCAATTTTTCAAAATTACAAATATCCAACCAAGATTTATTCCTCTTCTACAAACCGCACCCTCGGAGAGGGTATTCGTTAGGTAAATGCAAAACTTAAGGGGACATTTAGGTTTGAAATGTAAATGAGGTTAGGATAGGAAAACAGCAGCAAGAAATGAATCAATAAAGATATCACTAATTAAGCATTGGGAATCCAGCATAACTACATGAAGGGATATGAAAAAGCAAGAGGATGCTTTATTAAGATTCAACACAAATTCATAATGACGGGAAAGAAATAGCATTTTCAGATTAGATTACACTAAACAGTCATATTCATCCTTATATAGGCAATTTTTTACACTTACAAGACCCTGGAGTTAAATAATATAAAGTCTCATCTGGAGAAGAATAAATATATAAATATAGCTTCACACCATCTCATTGTAATCCATACACAACATTAACCTAAGTGCCCATCACCATCAAATCTTGAATAAGGCAAACAAGTAGATAACAACAATGTCAACAAGTCTAGAATCTTGAATTTACTAACATAATTCCAATTATGTGCTAAACTAAAGAATTACCTGATTAGCAAATCCCCAAAACAGAACAGACACAACCACACTGCCCCAGAGTTCAGCCATAACATAGAACAAGCAGAAACTCCAAATCCTCATAATAGCAAGTGGCCCAAGAAATCTCGGGCCCAATATGTTCAAAAGCTTATCAGCAAGAGCTGTGGGGTGAAAATAATGGCTCAGAGGGTACAGCACAAACCCAAATGCCCCAAAGAAGGCTATAAATGGCAGAATAACAGAGTAAAAAAGAGCATCTTTGGACAACACATTAGCCAACTTAGTGTACAGCAGCATAAACCCAATAGCCATTGGCAAATTCACCCATGTTTTCAAGAAAGGTATAATCTCAGCACTTGAACCTTTCGCCGTCACAACCAAGACATCCTTAGTGTCCCTCAGAATTGTGTAATTGAACAGAATGCAAAAAAACATCATCCCAAGGGGTAATATCTTTTTTAAGGTCACAATCTCAATGCCCATAAATTTTGGCTGTTCTTTTGCTCCATACAAGGATTGTCCATCGGGTGAAGCTGCAGCAGCCTCAGCCCTACAAATAGGATAATTTCTGGGCTTTTTTTGAGTGACAGATTGAGGTTTTGCTACAAAGCCTTGCGACTTTGAGAACCCATTAACGGATAAAAGAGATGGCTTGCTATTGAGATTGAGTGTGCTTGATTTTGATAGAGGGTTTAAGGGGGTGAACCTGAGCCTCAAATCACATGAGGGTTTTGCGAGAAAAGCTCTGGTCTTAGGGTTTGAAGGTAAACAAAAAAGGCCCTTTGACTGCAGAACTCCCTGCATTTTTTCTTCAAACCCTCTGGAAATGTTTTCCAAAATAGAGAGCTTTTGTGAATCTTTGATTTTTCTTATGAAATGAAAGCAAGTAAAACGAGGGATGGGTTGAGGAAGATAAGGTTGGGTGATGGAGCAGAGCAGAGAAGATAGTTTTTTTATTTTATTTTTCCTCTCTTTTTTGCTCGGAGGGTCTGAGGAAGCTGCACAAATATCTTTATACCATCATGTCAGGGAGAGATGGAAACCCTTGTTTGGAGACAAAATTGGGAAATGATAACAGTAAATTATTATTAGTAAATAACAATAGGAATTAGTAAATAATAATAGTACATATACAATAAGCCACCACTACTGTTGCTGTGAAATTCTTGGTGTCAGGGAGTTACAGTAAATTGCCTATTATTTAGTCTAAATACATAAATAAGCAATTCTTCCACTTGATGTTTTTGCCATTTATAATATCTCTCAACTTGGTCAAAATAAAGGGTCTAGAAATATTAAAATTTCTTGGGCCAAGGGCGAGAGCGACTTGGGAGAACAAGGAGAACAAAGTAAGGGCACAAACCAACAAAAAGTAGTGGCGATTGCGTATAAAAGAATACTCCCTTCTATTTTTAATAAATATCGTTTTGAGAGCATAATAATTAAGAACTATTTTTTTTGTCAATAATAACCCTCATTAATGAGGATAGAGATAGATGTTTTGAAAAAAAAATGAAGAGTTAGATGAGCGTAATAATGAAAAATTATGTGTAAAAGATCCAAAATGACATTTATTTAGTAAATTGTTGATAAAACCAAAATAACATTTAAAAAAAATAGGAGAGAGTATAATTTTTCTACTGAAAAATATTTTTAAAAAATATAAATAAAATAAAATCATATAAATATAATTTATTACATTGTTTTTTTCTTAATAATCTAGTAACACAACTAAAATTAAAATATGATCATCATTACATATTTTTTTTTTAAAAAAAACATGATTCATTACTATTTTTTTTTTTTCAAGGATAGACTACTCCATAAAACTAAAGAACAAATTGTCCAAGGTACAAGTCGAGCACATGCCAGAGAAACAGCTACAAAAGCACACTGGGAGACCACTCAAAAAGTGGCCTAAATACACACAACAACCCAAGTGATAGAGGCAAAAGGCTAGACCCTCTGATCACCAAACTGCCTAGAACACAAATACACGCGACAATTAGAGACTAACAACAGAAAGCTAACAAGCCGAAAGAAAAGAAATACCAAATCAACAACAGACCAGAAACAAACAAACAAGCAAATAGACTAAGAGTTCTTCAGTAATTCCTGCCGTTCTAACCATGCTCCTTTCACAACGCACAGCTCTGGTTTTCTCTCTTCTTGGAACAACCATAAGTTCATTGATCGCCAAAGCCACCACATAATATATATGTGGTGAGTTGGATCCTGGCTTCAGATATTTCAGCCTTGTCCACAGAGCAAACTTGCCACCATCAATCCTTGAAGTTGCAATTATCCACCTGAATTCCATCCCAAGATAGAGGAGTTAGCTTCCCAACTCTCTTGGCCTTGCTGTATTTGAGAAATAGGTGCTCAGTAGATTCCTCAATCTCCCCACAATTCCTACAAATCACATCAATCTCAATCCCGTTTTTTCTAACATTCAAGCTCACTGGTAGAACACCAGAAAAGCATTTCCATAGAAAATGCTTAATCTCCTTATTGTGTTTGCCTGAGTTTCTTCCTTCTACACTATCTGTCTTCAGAACTTTACTGGCCATCAGGTAAGAGTAAGACTTAAAGACTGAAAAGTCTCCATTCTTGGATAGTTGCCAGATCCATTTATCATCACGGTGAGGGTTAAGGGATTTGATTTTGAGGATAACTTCACTCTCAGCACTTCCAAAAGCATTTCTGAACAGTGTCTTGTTCCAATTTCAACCATCAATCACCATAAGTGTTAGGATATGCTGTAAAAGCTTGACTTTCAGATATTGACAATTCCATTTTGATTTGGCAATCATCTTTTAGTCAAAGTACATATGTTTGCAGTTTATTTATTTATGCAATCATAACTCCTTTATTTTACATTGTAGATAGTATGGTTCGTCGTGTCAAACAGAAAGACTACTCTATCGGTTCCTTGTAAAATATAAAATAATTGTTCACAGTCTTGACAGACAGTGAGACCCTATTGGAAAAAAGACTGTAGTGTAATTCTTGATTCAGTTGGTCTTTGACTGATGGATTACACTGGTACTTATGATAAGTATTGAACAAGACCACAAAAGGATAAGTTATAAGATTTACTGATCGCAATTATAATATAGACTTTCAGTAATTGATGTGTATTCTTAAGTCGTAAAATAATATAAGACGGGCATATATATTCATCACTTGTTTATTTGATTTACCATGGGTGATTCCTATTTTACTAGGATGACATACCCGATATTTTGGTAAATGAGTGCGTTTATATGATGTGTTGTTATAGATTATTTACGGTCATTATCTCCCAGTGTGTTGGGTTAATGACGTCCCCGAAAGGAGCTCAGGAAGGAATATTATGTCAAGCCCTGCAGGCGGATGAATATCCGACATAATGATTAAGAATCTGAGTGGTACTAGTTTCAGAAGTGAATAAGAAGTTGATTAATTATTTTGTCAGTAATTTAATTAATCAACGGACATTATATCTTAAACATATGGAGATAAATCGATTAATTATATTAATATTTATTAATCAAGTGGAGGTTCGAATTTATTGAATAATTTGGAGCTAAATGGGGAGAGCAATATATTACTCTAGTGGAATGTTTTATTATTTAATTTTATTAAGAAATTAGTAATTAATTATATTCCATAATTAAGATTCTTTAAGGAGAAGAATATTCTTTCTAGAATATTACCTAGGGTTAGGAGACTGTGGAGGTTCGATGTCCAGTTGCACGCATCAATCCCAAGAGAGTGCAGGCCCAAGATCGCGCGAGCAGCCCATCGCGGGAGCAGGAAAAACACGCTGGTCGTCTCAGCCCCCGTCCAAGCCCGCGCCCCTCACAGCTCAGCCTGTGCGGCCCGCATGTAGCCCGTTTCAGCCTGCGCGCATTGCCCAACTGCCTTACGGCCCATAAGCTCGTCTCCTCGGCCCAATTCCTTGCAACGCGTGGCCCAAGTTCCCAGCAAGGCCCAGCGGTCATGCCAGCCAGCCCAGCGTGCTCTAGCCGGCCCAGAACACCGTCAGACCAGTCCAGACGCGACCAGTAAGGTCGAAAACGGTTCAGTCCGGTCCAGAAGCCCCGGTTTGAGTCCAAGATGGTTTCTGAAGTTGCCAGTCTGGTGGTGTTCTGGGCTGGCTGGAGCACGCTGGGCTCGCTGAAGTTGGACACTTGCCACTACAAATCCCTAAAGTTGCAATTATCCACTTGAATTCCATCCCAAGATAGAGGAGATAGCTTCCAAACTCTCCTGGCCTTGCTGCATTTGAGAAATAGGTGCTCAATAGATTCCTTAGTCTCCCCACAATTCTTACAAATCACATCAATCTCAATCCCCTTTTTTTCTAACATTCATGCTCACTGGTAGAACACCAGAAAAGCATTTCCATTGAAAATGCTTAATCTCCTTATTGTGTTTACCTGAGTTTCTTTCTTCTGCACTGTTTGTCTTCAGAACTTTACTGGCCATCAGGAAAGAGTAAGACTTAAGGACTGAAAACTCTCCATTCTTGGATAGTTGCCAGATCTATTTATCATCACAGTGAGAATTACGGGACTTGATTTTGTGGATAGCTTAACTCTCAGCACTTCCAAAAGAATTCCTAATAGTGCCTTGTTCCATTTCCAGCCATCATTCACCATAAGTGTTAGGATATGCTGTAAAAGCTTGGCTTTCATATATAGACAATTCCATTTTGATCTGGCAATCATGTTTTAGTCAATCAACTTATGTTTGCAGTTTATTTATTTATGCAATCATAACTCCTTTATTTTACATTGTAGATAGTATGGTTCGTCTTGTCGAACAGAAAGATCACACTATCGGTTCTTTGTAAAATATAAACTAATTGTTCACAATCTAGACAGACAGTGAGTCCCCTGTTGGAAAAAAAACTGTAATTTAAGTCTAGATTCAATTAGTCTTTGACTGATGGAGTACACTAGTACTTATGATAAGTAATGAACAGGACCACGGAAGGATAAGATTATAATCTAGACATGCAGTAATTGATGCGTACTTTTAAGTCGTAAGATAATATATAACAGGCATATATATTCATCACTTGTTTATTTGATTTACCATGGGTGATTCCTATTTTACTAGGATGACATACTCCGTATTTTGGTAAATGAGGGTGTTTATATGATGTGCTGTTATAGATTATTTACGGTCACCTATGTCCCAATGTGTTAGGTTGATGACGTCCCCGAAAGGAGCTCAAGAAGGAATATTATGTCATGCCCTGCAGACAGATGAGTATCCGACATAGTGATTAAGGATCTGAGTGGTACTAGTTTCGAAAATGAATAAGAAGTTGATTAATTATTTTGTCAGTAATTTAATTAATCAACAGACGTTATATCTTAAACATAGGGAGATAAATCGATCAATTAGAATAATATTTATTAATCAAGTGGAGGTTCGAATTTATTGAATAATTTGGAGCTAAATGGGGAGAGCAATAATATTACTCTAGTGGAATGTTTTATTATTTAATTCTATTCAGGAATTAGGAATTAATTATATTTCATAATTAAGATTCCCTAAATAGAGGAATATTCCTTCTAGAATATTATCTACAGTTAGGAGACTGTGGAGTCTTATAGAAAGTAATTAGGGTTAGGAAGAATATTATCCTAGATGGGAAAGGATTTGGAACATAATTATGATTCCTAAGACTAATGGGATAAGCTCATATTTAGCACCTCCTTAAGGTCCCTAATGTAGCCTATAAATACACCATGTCCCAACCTCTTCCTCTAATGATGGTGAGGCTCGATTTCAAGGTTCCTATAAAGAAGAGGAAAATCATGTTCATCATATATTGGAGAGTTTGAGAGTTTCGATTAATCTCCCCCCAAGATTATTCGAAGTAGGGGCAAAGGTCATACATTAGAATGCTTTAAGGTACAATATTTATCGAGCCTTTTAATATATATAATTTTCTGGCGACTTCCCCAATCACCGACGCACCGGCCGGAGCTCCAGCGACCTCCGACAACTCGCCGGAATCTTCCCAGCGCTGCAGTCCGCGCCAAGGTCCGGCAGGCCTCCTTCCAGCGCGCAGCCCAGGTCCCAAATCGCGCGTCCCAGCTGAGGCCTATCTTCAGTCCAAGCGCGCGGTCCGTGTCCACTATGAGCGAGCCCAGTTGCACATGTGAAGCCTAAGTGAGTGCAGGCCCAAGATCGCGCGAGCAGCCCATCGCAAGAGCAGGAAAAACACACGAGCCGTCTCAGCCCGTGTGGCCCGCGTTCAAGCTTGCGCCTCTCATAGCTCAGCCCGCACGGCTCAGCTTGTGGCCCGTTCCAGCCCGCGTGCATTGCCCAACTGCCTTGCGGCCCATAAGCTCGTCTCCTCAACCCAATTCCTTGCAGCGCACGGCCCAAGCTCCCAGCACAGCCTAACGGTCACGCCAGCGAGCCCAGCGTGCTCCAGCCAGCCCAGAACACCACCAGACCGGTCTAGATGGGGCCGACAAGGTCCAAACCTATTCAGTCCAGTCCAGAAGCCCTGGTTTGAGTCCAAGATGGTTCCCGAGCGGTCCGAGCAGTTCGACTTACCTACCGAAGGTCCGAGACAACCCGACGAGCCCAACTAGAAACTGGAGATGCGTTGATGAGGTCAAGTCCGGCTGCCCAATGGACTATGCGGTTCTGACGATCTCGTGCAGAGGAAATCAGAAACGTCTCAGAGTCGGCAAAAACCATAAGTCCTAATCCTAACTATAGATTTCGTTGCATTAGGATTTATTGTTAAATGTATTTGAGAGTGCACATAGCTGGCGTTCCTAATAGAACCCAATAATAAGGTCATTGACCCAAATAAGAGAATCTCTGAAATTAGCAACCAGATTAGGGTGTCTGAACCCCAGACCTGGGACCCAACCTGCATATGTTATTTTAGTCTGACCACCACACCTAATTTCTTTTCTCAGGCTCTCCTTGAAAGCTGGGAGGCAGTCCACCCAATTATTCCAATGCCAAGATGAGGAAGCCTTTTCTGAGCTTCAAGAAGATTAGGTTGAGGGTATACCAAGCTTTAAGCAATTTGGTCACCAATAGCTCGGGTTGAGTAGCAAGTCTCCAGAGTTGCTTAAGAATGAGGTACTCATTGAAGATTCTGAAGTCTTGGAAGCCCAGTCCTCCATATTTTTTAGGAAGTGTGATAAAGTCCCAGCTCTTCCAATGCACCCCAGTTGCTTGATCACTTCACTTGCTCCACCAGAAGTGAGCTGTTAATTTGGCTAACTCTTTACATAGACCTACAGAAAACTTGAAACTAGACATCAAATAGAGAGAAAGCATTTATGACTGCCTTGATCAATACCTCTTTCCCTGCAGTTGATAAGTATTTGTTTTTCCAGCTCACTAGCCTTTGTCTCATAGATTTAAGAATGAAATCAAAAGCTTCCTTTTTTGATCTGTTTATCCCTAGAGGTAACCCCAAGTATCTAGTGGATTTGTGTTTTTGAATGCCTGCTAAGACTGCACTGATGTCCCTTCTAATGTGAGGAGGAGTATTCTTACTAAAAAACACTGAGGACTTACTCAAAATTGACCCTTTGGCCTGAGAAGTCCCCATAAATGCCCAGAATTGTAAGCAAAAGAATAGTTTAATTGACTTCAGCCTTGCAGAAAATTAAGGAATCATCTGCAAACATTAGGTGTGAGATAGTTGGGCTCCCTCTGGCAGTTCTTAGACTTCTGAAGTTCCTCTTATGAACTTCCTCACATATTAAGGCTGAGATCAGTTTTGAAACAATAAAAGATAGGGTGACATGGGGTCACCCTGTCTCAAGCCTCTTGAAGGTAGCACATAACCTGTTGTTTCACCTTTAATAATGAAAGAGAAGGAAGATGTTGTGATACAAGCCATTATCCATTTGACAAACTGACTGCATAACCCCATTTTCTCCATTAGAATTCTTAAGCTTTTCCACTCCACTCTATCATAGGCTTTCACCATATCAAGCTTTAGGGCCATAAAATGGTGGTTACCCGATCTGTGTCTGTGTAAGTAGTGGAAAGCTTCATGTGCAATAACAATGTTATCCAAAATGCTCCTTCCTGGGATAAAAGTTGATTGGTATGGGCTTATGCAACAGGAAAGACAGCCCTTAAGTCTGGTGGCCAGGATCTTAGAAATAACTTTGAACACCACTCCACACATGCTGATTGATCCGAATTGGCTCAAAGATACAGGGTTAGTGCATTTGAGCACCAAGGTAATAAGAGTGTGGTTGAAGTACCTGAGAAGTTGACTAGTCAAAAAAGCTTAGCACAACTTCACAGATGTCACCCTTTATGATGGGCCAAAAATGCTGGAAAAATAATGCTGTCATCCCATCTTCTCCAGGGGATTTGAGGGGATTTATGGAGAATAAGGCACTTTGAATTTCCTCATCATCTACTACTGCCACCAAGCTCTCATTCATTTCTGCTGTGATAGAAAGGGGGATAATATTTAGGGAGTCTGCTGGAAATTGAGATCCCTCAATTGTGAAACGCTGGTTATAGAATTCAGTGACATGGGCTTTAATCTTAGTTGTGAAAAGTTGGTCTTAGAATTCAGTGACATGGGCTTTAATCTCCTATGGAGTTGATAAAACTCTGTTATCCTCTGCTACCAACCATGAAACAATATTTTTCTTCTTTCTTTGGATAGTATATGCATGGAAAAATTTTGAGTTCTTGTTCCCTTCTTTCAACCACAAATGTCTTGATTTTTGCTGCCAATAAGCTTCTTCTGAATTGTATTCTGCTTCAAGTTCCTACTGAATGGAATTCCATTCTGCCCAATTTTTGGCACCACTTAGCTGCCTCATTTTCTCTAGTGTGAGTGTAAATTTATTGATCTTATCTTTGCTATCTGAGTTGAACAACCTGCTCCATTTAGACAATGCCATCCTGGTTAGCTTTAATCTCTCATCCACTTTGCAAAAATGAGTGCCTGTTTGGGTAATGTCCAGGCTTGACTAACATTTTCTTGCACTCCTTCCTTTTTCAACCATCGTTTATCGAAGCAAAATCATTTTTTCTTCTTACCTCCTTCCCCATCAGATTCTAGTAGTAAAAGACTGTGATCCGAGGCACTTTTGTAGATATTTGAAACTCAGGCTGACCTTCTCTCATTGTTTCTCCTCCTTGTAGCTGAAATCATTTCAATCACCTGAAATTGCCCAGCTATCTCCCCAACTCAACCTCTCTAACTGCAGATCCTCCCATTGAAGGATTCTAGTTGCTTTGTCTGTGCTCATACAAACAAAGGTAATCCATTCAGTTGAGGCATCCTGGTGACCTTTATACTCAACCTGGATATAGTAGTCTGATGTCTTAATATGAAGGATCACCAACTCTGTATTCCAGAGGAGCAGGAGGCCGCCTCTGGTCCCTTGGGGTTCCACCAAAATATAGTAATTCTCAAAACCTAACTTCCTGCAAACAGATAAAGTAAATTCTTTTTGTTTTTTGATTTCTGATAAAAAGACAAAATATTGGTGGTGAATCTCTCTGATTTTTGAAACTGTAGAGGGCCCAACCAGACCTCTACAATTCCACACCACAACTCTCATTGATGACTGTGGGGCCAGTTGGGGCTGGCTACCTCCACTCGGTCTTTTGTGATTCTTTGTTTTTTCCTCCATGTAGAAGGTCATCCTTCTCCTATTGTATTTGACTGTTGTCTGGTCCTCTACCTTTCCTCCTCTTAATCTTTTTTAGCCAGATTGCTCAATTGTGGTAGTCCCTTTGATTATTAGCAATTTCACTTCACTTCCCTTTGCATCCATCTCCATACTCTGGATCTTGAGTTGTTCTGGCATCACCATTGATTCAATTGTGTCCATTGATTGGGCTTCTGGAATTGTGAGAATACATTTTCCTTTGTCCACTGGCATTGTTTTGATTGAGGAAGAGGATTCTACTAAGTGTAGGCTTAGATTAGGGTCTCATGTAGATTGTATAGTCCCATTGCTAACTCCTACTTCCTGTCTCTGTTGCTCAGTACCATTGGTAGTATCTCTTCTAATCTCAACACTGGATTTATCATTTGGAGTCCTATTTCCAAAAGTGTCTGTTTGGTTACTCTGAGATGGGGATTAAAAAATTTGGTATCCATCTACAGCTTTCAGCCACTCCCCATAGAGCCCACAGAGAACATGGTTAGCTATATCCTCATGTCTCATTTTGCAGCTTTTATCTGAGTGTACAATTTTTCCACAGTAGTAGCAGAGACTGACCAGTCTCTCATACTTGAAATGAACTGTCACCATTGTATCTCCTAACCTGATCTTTTTTCATCTTGGAAGTGGGTCGGTTAAGTTAACAGTGACATGCAATCTGATCACTCGCCCTCATGCCCTAGCCAAGTTAACATGTTGAACTCGTTTGAATATCTGGCCTAATTTTAGCCCAACATCAGCGCTCAATCAATTTGGCGGTACATTATGAGCCTGGACCCAGAGGTTTAACTCCCCGAAACATTGATGGTTACTGCTCAGCCCTGGGCTCCATTCTTGTAGGATAATATGTTGATAATCAAAAATCCAGTTTCTGCTTGAGAGAATCATAACCATATCCTGTTAGTTACAAAAAATAAACTGGAAAAAGTTGAAGCTGAACTCCGTACCTCAAATTGGTGCCCTAATTTCCAGATAATGCCCATAGCTCTTTTAATTCCCACCCTATTT